TAGTAACCTTTATCGCCTTACCAAAATGTCGCCAAACTACCTGCTACCATATTCCAAAGATTAGCCGAAAAACTTAAAACATTGCAAAAAGTCGAGCTCACTTTACCAGAATAGGTTAATCTTTGGAATATGGTAACAGGTAGTTTGGCGACATTTTGGTAAGGCAATAAAAGTTACTAGCTAGGACTTAAGCAGTGTACATGGATATAGTCAAGAGTGTGCGCAATGCCATTTTTGTGCAATTCTGGGAATTGGGTTTTAATCCGCAGAGAACCCGTTGGCGCCGTTGCATTTTTACTCGCCAAGCTCGCGGTTTTATTGACGATGAGCCGAGCCGTAAACGTGATATTTTGTAAACGTGATTTTTAGTGCATGTAAATTCAAGTAAGCAAACAAAACAATATATTAAGCATATGGTAATAAAAATTCACAGATAATAAGCATGTAGATGTAAAACTGACCGGTTAAACGTGATATACAAAAATAAATTTGTATTAAATTCAAGTTAGCACAGAAAACAATATATTAAGCATAAGCAATATATATGCATTTATAATGGAAATAAAAAATATAAATTAGTATTAATGTACTGAAATTACCCGGTTAAACGTGATAAACGAAAATTTCTTAAATTCCAGTTAACACGGAAAACAATATATTCCTTACACCAGCAGTGGTTTGCTAATTTTGATGACCATGGTGATGCATCAACTATTCTGTCAACTTAGATAATCAATCATATTTTTCATTTCAATTTAATCATCTATTTACGTCACACCTGCCATCCTCTGAAAGGTTATTGTTAGAAAAGCCTTAACAATATATTATCTTGTTAAAATTTTATGCCATAAAAATTGATTTATTCTCATAATTTTAGATGACAATAGCCAATAATAAAAATAAAAGCATTACTTAATTATTTAAAATGCACATGCATATTTTTGCGGCCTACGAAAACAAATTATTTTAGGGGTTGGAAACCTCATAGTTCTGCATGCTTACAGCTGTTAATAATTAAGAACACAACGTGAACAGCCGTGTTACAAATTAGCATTCACCTCTACCACCGTATTTTCTTCCTTTCATCCCAAACCGAGAACCGGCATCTATCTACGAAAATATTTCTATCTATTCGTTGTTAAAAAATTCAGAAAAAATAATAATAAATAAGAGAAGAATAATATAAATTTGCAAATGCTAACAACGACAGTGATAATTCAATAAAGTGAACGCAAGAGGAATGGTTGCAAACTTCGAACAAGCGAATAGGATAAATCCGGTGGGTTACCACGTTTAAACTATTATTGCCAAAGTTGGCAATGTTTATATTTACCGGGTTCTCTCCGGAAGTGCTTCATGGGATTTTTTTTTAAGTGAAAATAGGTCGACATGTACATGGATGATACCGTGTATGTGCAATTCGTAAAAACGCGGCAAGCATTGGGCGATTCTGCACTTCGTCCCAATTTCGCACCTAATCTTCGTCATGATTAAGCACTTTTTTTCCATAAAATTCTAGCATAAGCGTAATTCGGCTAGCAGATTGTTGAAAAAAATGTTGAGTAAAAAAAATGCCTTTACTTCATGAAAACAAAATGGCATCCAAACAAAAAACTAGCAGGTTGCTGTAGCAGGGTTGGTCGCCAAATTTTCTCCAAAAAATCGCCTAGTTACCATAATCGGTTGATCTTTACAATATGGTAACTGGTAGTTTGGCGACATTTTGGAGGCGATAAAGGTTACTACCTGGGACTTTGGTAATAATGTGAGCAGTACTCAGTTCCGATTACGCATTATTTTGTGTGAGGGAAATGAGAGATCATGGGATATGTCATGTGATATTAATGGACGAATTACGGTTCTTTAATCGTAAAAAAGGGGAAATCGGGAAAAAATCTGGAAATTTTGTATTTGGCTTTATTCTGTGTTGTGTGAAACAGTGTTGGTTAATTTTTGGATACCATGGCCGTAACTAAAGTGAATTCGAAATGGGTATTTAGTGGTATTGAAAAGGATAGTAATAAATGTTTGTTTAAGGTTGTGCGAGATAGTTAATAAAGATGTTTTATTAAGTTATTTATTTTACCTGGTACCTTGCTGTGAAATATAAGTATGATTTTAAAGATCCTGAAACAGAAAGAAGAAAAGTTTGGTTGATCTTTACATTATGGTAACTTGGCGTTTTTTTGGCGACCAACTCTCCTACAGCAACCCTCTATTTTTTTTTCCCGCCGCCATTTTCTCTTCATGAAGTAAAAACATGTTTCTTTTCTTTTTATCTACTGAACACTTCTTCCAACAATGTACTAGCCGAATTACACTTATGCTAGAAATTTTATCTAACAAAACTGCTTAATCATGACAAATATTCACTGCAAAATTGGGAAAAAGTGCACAATACCATACTCCTTACGCGTTTTTCAAAATAACACATACACATAAACCATGTACACGCCGACTTATTTTTACTTAAAAAACATTCCAGAATTGCACAAAAATGGCATTGCTCACACTCTTCACTATATCCATGTACACTGCTTTTTTCTCATAAATTAGAAAAATTTCACGAAAATACATGACAATTTTCTCAATCTTTAAACCCGGTAAAAAGAACATATATGAAATTACCTGATCGCGAAAAAGTATTTACCCTTTCCAAATATGAACATTTCCACATATAAAATAAATAAAATATCCAAAAACTTTTACATCTAAATCATCTATTACATTATACACATCAACAACGAATTCATACCGCAACCATTACAAATACTTAGTGTCAGATATTTAAATTATTTCCATGCACGTTTACTTCAACTAAAACGTATACCAAATTCCTACAAACATAAAAATTCACAAAATAACTATCATTTAATTAAAATATAATTAAATTCAAAAACACTACTTAAAATATAAATGAGCACATACATTAAATTAATACATACATAAATACCCATTTCGAATTCACTTTAGTTATGGCCATGGGATCCAAAAATTCACGAACACTGTTTCACAGAACACAGAATAAAGCCAAATACAAAACTTCCAGATTTTTTCCCGATTTCCCCCCTTTTCCGATTAAAGAACCGTAATTCGTCCATTAATATCACATGACATATCCCATGATCCCTCATTTCCCTCACACAAAATAATGCGTAATCGGAACTGAGTACTGCTCACATTATTACCAAAGTCCCAGGTAGTAACCTTTATCGCCTCCAAAATGTCGCCAAACTACCAGTTACCATATTGTAAAGATCAACCAAAAGTTTATCGGACACGTAATCAAGATTCTGAAGAAGATTAGGTAAGTTAGTATTTTTAATTATTTGAGGATATTATTTTTATGCATTGTTCTAAATGTAAGGTGGAAAGGAATTTGATATTATTGGGAAAATTGTTATTAGCAATGATTTAGTTTAAAGTAATTAGGATTGTAAGGTAATTTTTATTAATTTAATGTATGTTCTCATTTATATTTTAAGTAGTGTTTTTGAATTTAATTATATTTTAATTAAATGATAGTTATTTTGTGAATTTTATGTTTGTAGGAATTTGGTATACGTTTTAGTTGAAGTAAACGTGCATGGAAATAATTTAAATATCTGACACTAAGTATTTGCAATGGTTGCGGTATGAATTCGTTGGTGACGTTTATAATATAATAGATGATTTAGAGGTAAAAGTTTTTGGATATTTTATTTATTTTATATGTGGAAATGTTCATTACTTTTCGCGATCAGGTAATTTCATATATGTTCTTTTTACCGGGTTTAAAGATTGAGAAAATCGTCATGTATTTTCATGAAATTTTTCTAATTTATGAGAAAAAAGCAGTGTACATGGATATAGTGAAGAGTGTGCGCAATGCCATTTTTGTGCAATTCTGGGATGTTTTTTTAAGTAAAAATAAGTCGGCGTGTACATGGTTTAGTGATATTTTAATTAAATGATAGTTATTTTGTGAATTTTATGTTTGTAGGAATTTGGTATACGTTTAAGTTGAAGTAAATGTGCATGGAAATAATTTAAATATTTGATACTAAGTATTTGTAATGCTTGCGGTATGAATTCGTTGGTGACGTGTATAATGTAATAGATGATTTAGAGGCAAAAGTTTTTGGATATTTTATTTATTTTATATGTGGAAATGTTCATATTTGGAAAGGGTAAATACTTTTTCGCGATCAGGTAATTTCATATATGTTCTTTTTAACGGGTTTAAAGATTGAGAAAATTGTCGTGTATTTTCGTGAAATTTTTCTAATTTATGAGAAAAAAGCAGTGTACATGGATATAGTGAAGAGTGTGCGCAATGCCATTTTTGTGCAATTCTGGGATGTTTTTTTAAGTAAAAATAAGTCGGCGTGTACATGGTTTATGTGTATGTGTTATTTTGAAAACACGTAAGGAGTATGCTATTGTGCACTTTTTCCCAATTTTGCAGTGAATATTTGTCATGATTAAGCAGTTTTGTTAGATCAAATTTCTAGCATAAGTGTAATTCGGCTAGTAGATTGTTGGAAAAAGTGTTGAGTAAATAAAAAGAAAAGAAACATGTCTTTACTTCTTGAAGACAAAATGGCGGCGGAAAAAAAAATAGAGGGTTGCTGTAGCAGAGTTGGTCGCCAAATTTTCATAATCCAAAGATTAACCGAAAATACACAGTAAAAAATCACTACTCACAAGCTATTGATAAATCAAGGGGAAAGTGCAGAATTACCCACTGCTTGGCGCATTACTAAGAATTGCACATACTCGGTATCCATGTCATACTCCTTTGATTTTATCCATGTACACATCGACCTGTTTTCACTTAAAAAGTAAAAGAAAATTGACAAAATTCCAATTCTTCTTAATCTTGTAAAAAGCGCCAAACAAATAAGTGGGTGATTCTGCACTTTACCCTAAACCAAGTACTGCTACTCATATCGAGGATTACTTGATAATTAGAATAAACTAGATAATGGCAATATATTGGAATTTAATAAGATACTCACCCAAAATGAGAAAATAAATTATTACGAAACAATTTATACGCAGTTACAGATTTATGATTTATGAATATATAAATGGTTTCATAAGCTTAAAAACAGCGAACTTACATACTATTTTACAGAAAGATAAACTTTCCTACAAGGAGTTTATTGTCACACTTGTTTACTATAAAATCTCAATTGCTGCCATCTAAAACCAAAGAAGCAGAGCAAACTAAATAACATTAATATAGACGGAGTATAAGGACTCAGTGTTAATATCATAGAACATTATTAAGAAATTTTAGCGTTTGGTATACGCTAAAGGAACGGTAATAATTATAATTGTATTTGTTTTTTAATCCTGAACTCAACATTAGAAACTGTATACCTTGATTTAGTATATTAAATTTAATTTCTATTCTAAATTAAAATTTTACATTAAGTATTATTAGAAATAGATATTGTTATAGATCTGATTAATTTTCTAAAATTTCTAAAATCTAAAATTTCTAAAATCTAAAATCTAAAATTTCTTTAAAATGTTGCAACGGATTAAACGACAAGACACACAAGACAAACAAAGTAAACAACGTACATCTCCACTCAGCTGAAATGCAGTTAAAAACTTTCAAAGATGGCGTACGCGGCTCTTAGTAGAATGTCGCGAATTTGCTTGAGAAATGTTTCCCGTATCTCTACCTCTAGTGCAGCTACAATATCTACATCAAAGAAAAATAAAGATACTCTAGTTTATCCTGATGATTTGTTTCCTAAGAAACAACCTCCACCTCCAAGGACTGTAGAAGATTTTGCGGAGACAAAAAACCCGAAGGTTAAATGAAATTTGTAAACAGATTTTACTTTCGTATTTGCCTTCCTATCCATCAAAAAAAAGCTCTGCATTTTTAAAAAGCTAAGAAATTTATATTGAGTAAAGATTATTGTACATAAGTATCTTTTGTTGATCAGTAGTTGTAGGAATAAGATTATTTTAATTTTCGTTTGTTTACCTCGGGAGAGCGTCCCGCAGTGGTTTAATCCTAGTATCCGGTGCACATGGGATTTGGCGACTTTTGGCGAATTTATGATAAGCAGTAAACGGGGCATACACGATGAGTAGTTAAACGGGTCATTTTGGTGTTGGTGATAATTTTCAAAATTGCGCCAAGGCTGCACCGTATACTAGGATTTTACCATTCACAAAGTTGTACTTGCATTATGTATAAAATGATGCTTTTAAGGTTAAAGCAATTTAAGTATAATATTGACGTTAACAATACAGCCAAAAGTCGTTAATTGGGACACCCATAATCCGGAATGATCTATAATCTGGACCTCATAAGCTACAAACTTTCTGCGCATGCGCGTAAGACCTTTACGACTGCGAATATGCGTGTGCGCATGCGCAAAATATGTTTACGAATGCGCGTTTAATGTATAACGGACGTTAAACGCGCATTATTTTAGCTTAGGTATAAGCTAAGCTAAAATTATTTAATTATCTATTTCAGTTAATGTTACAGATTGCATTGTTCCTTAATCTTCGAATTGGATTCGGCTTATTATTTTTTGCAGACTGTTAGAGCAATTTTATAAAAGTAAGCTTGAACTTTCGATTATGTCAAATAGAATTTCCTATGCTGGAGCTCTCAAAGGATCTACAAAGCGAAAATATGTTTCGACGATGTCCATCAAACAAAAAGTGGAATTGGTGCAGAAAATAGATAAAGGCATATTCTTTGTTTCTCTAACCAAACCAAACCTAACTGAAATCTATTTATCAATTTCACGCTGCTCTGTGGCAGGGGGGTACGCTGCGGCGCTCAATGAGTTGGAAGTTGATCTGTCAGCACTATCCTTATCTTCAGGGCAGATGTTTTTATTTTATTTGGCTTATAATTCCTTATTAAATGTAGTATTTCATCTCGATGTACTTCATCTTTGATATGATTTAAATCAAATTCCTAGTCATTATAATTTGCTTTCGATAGTGAAGAAAGTGACACAGAGGTTATTGAAAACGAAAAAATTTTGGTTTAATCTTAGTATCCGGTGCACACGGGATTTGGCTAGTTTTGGCGACTTTTATAATGAGCAGTAAAAACGGGACATATACGATGAGTAGTAAACGGGTATTCAAAGAATATACATAGTATATACTATGTATATTCTTGTAGTATATACTATGTATATAGTGATAGAGTATAGTGTATATACTATGTATATAGTGATTCATAGTATATACTATGTATATAGTGATTCATAGTATATACTATGTATATAGTGACAAAGTATAGTGTATAGTATACTATCACTATATATACATAGACGTTGTTTCGGTAACTTTTGGTGTTGGCGATAATTTTCAAAATCACGCCAAGGCTGCACCGTATACTAGGATTTTACCAAAATTTCGATTGACAAATTAGTCCATTCTCGACACAGCAATTATAGGACTTGAACAGCGGAACTTCGTAACTGAAGAAGAAATTATGTCTGTTTATAGAATTAAAGAGAAAGTATTATCACATAAAACAAAGCAACTTAAACAACTTACATTGAAAGAGATGTTTAATAAAATAAGTATTAAGCAACTTAAACAACTTACATTGAAAGAAATGTTTAATAAAGTAAACAAATAAATATTAAGTTTTTTTTGTAAATTTTGATACCCTTTAGATCATAATTGTTCTTTATTTCATAAATTACGGTTTCATACTTTTAATTTTATAATTTCTGCATGCCATCTTACCAATTAATTAGTCCGGATTAACGACTTTTGACTGTATATTGTTTCTACGTCTCTTGCTTTGTTACAGTTCAGATGGAATTTCTCTTTTGTTTGTTTATTGTACTGATGTATGTTAGCATAGTTTTTCAATAGGATATCTAAAAGTTCTGTAAACAAGGACCAGGTATCTGCTGTAATATTTTGATATGTTCCAAAAATAGGTTGAGCTAAGCTTAAAATAGACTGTGTTGGTTTAGAAAATATGATATATTCTGAATCCAGCCCATTTCATTCAGTCGTCGCCATAATATATGTTTGCATAGAACAGATTACTGTTCCTGGTATTTGCCATTCTCTATTTTATTACACGTATACATTTTAAAGTGAACTTTTCATTACTTGTGTATTATCCCATCAATCATTGATGGAAATTTTGGCAGCATTGCCAACTGCCGATCATTGCTGCAGAATTTTAAAGGATACAGTCATTGATAATTTGCACTAAATAGTGCTATATGGCCTGCTGGCTGGATCTTCACCAAAGTGCTTATTAAGTTTCATGTTATATGTAGGTTCCAATATTTCCTCTGAAACTAACTAGCATTTCACGATACTTTTGCAGTTTCCACTTTTGTATGAAACTGTTAAATAGAGTAAGTAGTAGTTGTTGTTGGGTCATGTTTTATTTGTTCTAGTATGTTTTCGTCCTCTCTCCAGGTCAAAACATATCTAGAATCATTGTTTAGACTATATTTGGACTGATTAAGAAACAAACTCGGGCCCAGTTATCTTGGCTCCATTGAACTTGATGATGGCACCAGTTTGAACAGGCCCCTCTGGAAGCTGGAGTGAGTGGAACACAAACTATTGGTTTTCTTTCATACAGTCCAACCTCGTTAAGCCTTTGTGCAGCAGTAGAATGGCTACTTTGAGTTCCTGTGGCAGCCTGAAAGTCTAAAATGCTGTTTTTTCAAGCCAACAATGACAGGAAATTGTTTTCTAATGCAGTTGTTTCTCTTGGTCACCTTAAAGCAGTTGTTAATACTATTGAATATAATAATATTCCATGGGCAAACTTAATTAGTGTATTAATGGACTCATGTAACACCATGCGTGGAAAAAAAAAGGGTGTTGAAACCAGACTACCATCAAACAAAGCACCTCACTTATTAGATATTGATGGTGACACATGTCACACAGCTAATAACTGTGCAAAAAAAATTTGCTTCATGGTTTGATAGATACTTAGAAGATTTGTTTGATGACATCTATTTTGATATGAAAAGCTGCAGTAAAAGAGAAAATTTTTTCAAAATCTGTGAATCCCTTGCCATTAAAAAACTTAAGCCCTTGAAGAGACCAGACCATAGGTGGGTGTACATTTTATGTGTTTTAGAAAGAATCAAAGATCTGTAAGATGCTCTTATTGCATTTTATTTTCACTACTTGGATAAAACTGATAAAGGGGATTATTTTTCTTATGTTAAAACTGTATACAATAAAAGAAATATTTCTGCAGCTCAGAAAAAAATTGTTGAAGGGGTGTATTCTTGCTTGACCAGGCTGTCTGTCAACTAATCCGGTGCTTAAAAAGCAGCTCCAGACTCTTGCTTGCTTGCTTAAGTGAACATGATGAATAGAGCAAATGAATAAATAGAGGTCTTGTATGCTCTGCAAAGGAATGCTATTTTTTCTGTTAAACATTGGTAAATTTAACAATGATGGTGGTGGATAGCGCTTACGCGGTTTCTCTCTAAAGTAGCTCACAAAGGCTCGATAATATTGATATCTGGTGACTATGATGGCCATTGTAAATTTCAAAAATCACACTTATACTCAGAAAAATGGTATGGCTGCCCAAAACATCACCAAACCCCCACCATATTTCACTCTTGACAACAATCTCTATCGTATGCTTAGGACAGCATTCGTAGATGTAAACTCACCCAGAAGTTGGACACAGTGTGAAGCAAGACTTGTTTGACCAAATGATACTCTTCCATTGTTCTCCAGTCCAGGTTTTATGACTTTGGCACCACTTTCTTCTCTTAGAGGCATTTTGATCACTGATGAGTGGCTTTTGAATTGCACCTTGCCCAAAAATACCCTACTTGTGGAACTCTTCCTTCATATTGTTTTGATGCTGACAGGGTTTGTGAGTGCTTCTGTAGTCCTCTTATTTTTCATCACTATCCTATTTAATAATCATCTGTCACGATCATTCAACACACATTTTCGTCTCTGCTGTGATTTAGCGGATGCATTTTTTCTCTGATTTTCCTGCATGCGTTTGAAATCTCGGATACTGTGCCTCTTGAAACAGCAAACACTTCACCTACCTTGATTACAGAAACAGTCACTATACAAGCCTCAACAATTTACCTATGCTGAATTCATTAACTCCAACATGATGCAGTCAAAATTGCTCAGAACACTATCTCGATATGAATGTGGACCGAATGAATACAATGCAT